TCCGAATTTCATGAGGATTTTCATGTGACCAAATATCCAGATTGTAAAAATTCACTACCCCTGGCCTTGTTAACGTAGCCTCATCGGTCCAAAGTATTTCTAGTAAGAATTCAAACAACCACTGATAAAAATTCAGGCGTCTCTATGCATCTCCCGGAAGTCAATTTTGCACAGATTGTAAATGGTACGGATTTCTGCCATCCTAACGTAGAACTTTTCAAATTTTCGATTTACTCACCCCAAATTGCCGAGACGTTCTTCGTGTACCTACTTAGCCAAGGATCGTCGTCAAATGCTTTTAAAATTTCATTCCTTTGTCGTGATTTTTCAAATATTGTTTTAATCCAAAAAGATGAAAGCGATGAGTGTAAAGAATTTTGTTGATGTGCTTACAAATTGCATTTACTTTTAAGCATAAACAAATATTCTTGTAATATTATGGTTAGAAGTGTCTGCCACAAGGGTTTTATATTGGTATGAATAACTTGAGAACGGTAAACTTTAGGGAAAAAATTCAAGTTACCTTTTTAAGTATTTTGTGCATTAGAATATAAATTCGTTACAATAACTTGTAATAATAATACAGTGGCGTAGGTTTTTTTTTATGAAAAAGGGTGCGACGCTGTCCAGTTGTACACCACTGGTTGAATCTTTAGAGCTCATATTTTAGCGAATACAAAACGAGGCCGTTCCAGATCTATGTTTATAAGGCAAACACCTACTATTTTAAAAAGATCTATCTGCCCTCGAAGTTTCCTGCATACAATTCGGACCACCCTGTATATATACAGGGTGTCCCATAAGCACATGATCAAACAGGTACTGCGACATTCTTTGGCTCAAAAGAAGACGATTTGACCTAACATTCATTAAGAAAAAATGTCTGGTTCCTCTGCAATTGACTGTCAAAGTTCTTGAAAAAAAAATGATTTTTGTAATATCTGTAGAAAGTTACGATGGATTTTAATGAAATTTGCTGTGGACTTGTTCCCAAGTAAAACGCATGTTTTGATGAAGTAATTGCGTCCATCTGCCTTGGGCTAGTGGTAAATTCTTGAGTGTCTTGGTACAAGAATTACCAGAACTTTTTATTTGGTCGCTGGAATTAATTCATTTTATTTTTATTGATGCATCAGTCCTTTTTCGAGATTTTCGTGCTCTTGGTAAAATCTTGTTTTTACGCACAAAATTTTTTTCAATTCACTACAATTACTACTATCGTAATAAGCGATGATGTCATTTTATAATAAATGAATTGTCAATCAATTCGTTTCGAATGGCGTTTTCTAATGAAGAGATGACCGACTGATCAAAGTCTTAGGGTTTTGCGAAGACGACTTGGTGGCGTCTACTCGGCGCGATACCCAAATCGACGGGTTCCAGATTACCGATTTACATGGATTGAAAAGAGTTTGCGGGAGACTGGGCAATTTGGTGTTCGAGCCGTTGACCGTGTGGGTCGTCTGCCAGTGGAATTTAGCGTACCAAAAAGTACAATTAATCGCATCATAAGACAGCAGCTTCTCCATCCTTATCATGCAACATCTATTCAGGAGCTTTTACCATACCATTTTGAGAGAAGACTTCAATTTCGCCCCTTTATTTAAGGAGCGTCGGCACGCGATCCAAATTTCACCAGCCGAATTTTATTCACCATTACGCAGAAGAAATCACTCATGCGAGGAGGGGAAATTTCCAATAAATGTTTGGATCGGGAACATCGGTGACATCTTTCTGGGTCCTTATGTCATGCGCACCGCTTGAATAGCAAAAATTATTTCAATTTTCTGACGAATAATTTTCCGGTTCTAATGGAAGATGTCCCTCTCGATCTTCGTGCTCAGATGTGGTTCATGTACGATGATGCTCCTCCGCAGTTTAGTGCAAATGTAACTGCACATTTAAATAATACTTTTCCAAACAAGTGGATCGGAAAAAGAGGTTCCCGGACTTTTTTCTATGGGAAGCCTTGAAAAATAAAGTTTACGCTACTCCTGTGGAATCCCAGGAAAAAATATTGCGTAGGATTCAAAACGAGGCGGACGTAATACGGAAAGATCCAAAAATGTTGAGGTTCGTTCAATTCAATTTCAATCGAAGGATCCAGCTATGCATCCAGGAAAATGGTGGGCATATCAAACATGTCTTGTAATTCCACCATCTATCTTATCTATGTAACTATCATCCAGTTTCAATAAAGAGAATTATGTCTTTCCTACGTACGTCTCTTTTAAGAAAAAATAAATCTAATGAAGTAAAATAATATTCAATCCGTCGCATTGCGACAGACTTTAAAGTTGCGACCATTTTACTTTCAATATTGATATCCTAGGTAAAAGAATTGGCAATTATTATTAGAGAAAGCTGCTTCTTGTAAAAGGGCAGATTTACTGCGATACATTTAAAATTGTTAAATCGCAACGAAACAGAAAACAATTTTTTGGTGGTTGTGACATCCCCAACGTTATCGTAAACACGGCAATTTGACAACGCTGTTACTCTTATATTATGTATGTTTAAAATGTTTGTGGTACAATTTGCACCGCGGAATATGAACGCCGATATATTTGATAATATGGACTTTTTAAATAAACTTTATATTTTGTAAAGATAACAATAAATAGGTAGGTAATTTAAGTGAATTATTTTTGCAATATAAAATTTCACTTAATAGGTTATAATAAAAATGATTAAATTGTAACCCAAAGTTATATTAGGTATATAATTAGTTTATTAATTTAATTCTATTAAATTATTTGCTATTCATTTAAATTTTTAAAGGAATGTTGAACAGCGGGCGATTTACAATACATGAACGATTTACGTACGTTTTTTGCACAATTGTTAATAAATATTTATTTCCGAGATAGTGTTTAAATTGGTCTCTTCAATTTTTTTCGTAGAATGCACTGTTTTTTTGAGGAAAAAAATAAAACATATTTTATTGCAAGTTATGTATTTTTAATTTCTATATCAATAGAAATAGATAATGTATCAACATTATCTAGTTAGTAGGTTGCTGCCAATATTTCTAAATAAAATACAACCATCAAATTTCGAGTAAGTATCTTTAAAACACTTTGAAATAATTAATAAAAATAAATAAAAAGTGAATAATTTATCGGAAAATTTTTCTATTTTTTGGATATTTTGACATCTGTGAAAAGAATGAAAAATTAGTGAAATAAACCCNGACTTTAATTCCTCCAAAAATTTTCCTTAGTATTTTTCGTTCCCAGACTTCTAACTTGCTTTCCTCTTTCTTTCTCATTGTCCACGTCTCGCATGCATAAGTAACTGTAGGCCTCAATATTGTTTGGTACACCTGTACTTTCGTTGCTCTTGTTATATTCCTTGCTTTTAAAAATCGTGAAAACATTCCCGCAGCCTTACTTCCTTTCGCTAACCTTTTTTCTTTTTCCTTTTCTTCATCGCCTTTACACGTTAGCGTTACTCCTAGATATTCGACTTGTTCTACTCTCTCTATCGTATATCTCCTATTTGCAGTGCAACTAATATTTAAATTTGCTGGAAGTCCTCTGGTATTGTTTTTCATCACCATATATTTTGTTTTATTTTCATTGATTGCTAAGCCATATTCTCTTGCTTTTGCTTCCAACAACTTAAAAACCCTTGTTACTTCTTCGGATCTCGCCATCAGCACAATGTCATCGGCATAAGCTAAACACTGGTGTCGGCTGCCATATATAAGCCCTCTCATATTTATACCACTTTCCCTCAAAATCACTTCCTGCACCAAATTAAACAAGACTGTGGACAGTGGATCTCCTTATCTCAAACCTTTCATTACACTGAACTCCTCAGATACTGCCCCATTCATTGTAACTTTATTTTCTGTTCTTCCAATAGTCATCCCCACCAACTTCAATAACTTCTCTGGGATTCCTAACTGCCTCATTGAATGTAACGACTTCTTTCTACTAATGGAGTCGTAGGCTTGCCGATAGTCAACAAACAGCAAATGTAAACTCAAATTCTGCTCATAAGTATTCTGTTGAATCTACTTCATGATGAATATTTGATCGGTCGTTGATCTTCCTGTCCTAAACCCTCCTTGGTATTCCCCCACTTGTTCGTTATGGTATTTTTCCAATCGGTTTTTAATTATTCTCGCTACCACTTTGTATGTTACATCTTGTAGTGCAATCCCTCGTTAATTATTGCATTCCTCCTTAGCTCCTTTTTTGTGAATGGGTATTATTAGCGCTTTATTCCACTTCTCTGGCATCTTCTCTTCTTACCAGATTTTTTTAATCAGCTCCCATACTCTTACTACCAGTGTTTCCCCTCCATGCTTTAAAATTTCTGCCGTTATATTATTTTCTCCCGCACTCTTGTTATTTTTTAACCGTTTAGTACAATCTTCTACTTCTTCCTTTGTGGGTACACTTACAATTTCATCGTCATTTGGCATATCCATCTCATTTTCTCTCGAACAGTCTTCCTCCCCATTCTCATTTAGTATTTCTGAGAAATACTGGGCAAATCTCTGCAATTTCCCTTCCGCATCTCCAACCAAGGAGCCATCCTGAGTTTTCAAATACTGGGGTTGTTTGGCGCTGTTGTTTTTACTTTTTTTAACTTCCTGATTAAAATTTCTCATTTCCTTACTAACATACAATTCTTCTATTTCCTTTAGTTCCTGCTCTAGATGTTCCTTCTTTTTCCTGCTGCAAATCGCCTTGGCTTCCCCACGAGCGCGCTCGTACCTCCGTTTGTTGTTTTCGCTCCTTTCCTCTAGTAACCTCAGCCGTGCTTTATTTCTCCGTCCCAACATTTGCTTACATTCTTCATCAAACCATTTATTTGTTTGTTTCCTTTTACACTTTCCCAATCTTTTTCTTGCCACCTCCTCCATAACAGTCGCGATCTGTGCCCATTCTTGTTCTATCTGCTCCTTATGGGGTTTCGTTGCCAATTATCTTGCCATTTCTCGCTCAAAATGTACTGCTGTTGCCATGTCTTTTAGTTTTGCTACATCATATCTCACCCGCTCTCCCCTTTTCACATATTTTTTTCTCAAAAGGTCGTTCCTGTCTCATTTCTATTATAACTAATATGTGATCAGTGTAACTGTCTGCTCCTCTGTAACTTCTCACATCAGTAACGTCCTTAGCATGTTTTCTCTCTATAAGGACATGATAAATTTGGTTCCTTGTCTCGCCATTTGGTGCTATCCACGTTTCTTTATGTATATTTTTGTGGTCAAAGGCGGTGCTGACAATTTTCATATTACTCTCTAACGCGAATTCTATCAGTCTCTTTCCATTATCATTACTAATTGCATGTCTACTTTTACCTCCCGTTACTTCTCTGTATTCCTCCTCCCTTCCCACTTTAGCATTCATAGCACCAATTACATATTTGACATCAAACCTTGGAAGCCTTCCCAAGATTCTATCCAAATCCTCATAAAACTTTACTTTAATTTCCAGGTCCTTTTCTTCAGATGGTGCATGCACATTTATTATATTAATCTTTCTAAATTGGCCTTTGATTCTTATTCTACATATTCTATCTGAGACCCCCTCAAACTCAATGACTTCATTTTTAAATCTGTTATTAACTATAAATCCTACCCCTAATCTCCTATTCTCAACCCCACTATTAAAAAATGTATGGTCTTCCACTTCTGTGATCGTTTTGCCCTTTTGCTTAGTTTCCTGTAATGCCAGAATATCTACATTATATCTTCTCATTTCCCCACATAAATGTTTCAGAGCGCCTTCCGTAAATGTACCTCTAACATTCCATGTACCTATCCTAATCTTATTTCGTCTCTTTCTTATTTTCTTCTTAACACTAAATCCGTTTAATCCTAGTCTATGTCATTTTTGTTGCCGGGTCAGGTCCATATCACTGTCGACAGTCACATTTTCTAGTTTTTTGTACCACTTGCTACACTTCCAAATTTTTCTAGCATATCCTCACGCTTATTCCATTTCCAAATTTTTCCATCTACCACTAATTTCAGAAACCCTGTTTTAACATTTTTTCCCCTAGTATTTTCTTCATTTGCTTTCTGCCTAATTTTCTTCTGAATAACCCTTTCTTCCTTTGTCATGTCATCATTGATAAATATTCTGTTGTCTGGCCTATTCTTCAGTTTACTTTTATTCCGCATCACTTCCAGTTTGTTCTCTTCACTGTCAAATTCCACCAGACATGTTTTCGCACTCAATCTATGCGCTGCTTTTATCAGTATTTTTACTCCTAACTCCTCTTCAATAAGCTTCCTCATTGTCTGCTATCTCCAGCATCCGCCGTTAGTCCCTGCACAATTATATTTTTCCTTCTTTTCTCACTTTCAAGTTTATCTACTCTTTCACTGTTTGCATTTATTACTTTTCTTAAGTCATTTACTTCCGCCATCGCCTTTTCATTTTCATCTTTTAGCCTCCCTATCTCCTTTTTATACTCCGCTTGTTCATTCCTCAATTCTCTTATTTCTTCTCTCAAAGCTTTAGTAGCTTCCCCTTGGGCCTGTTGCTCTATCTTAATATCTCTCACGTCTGCTGTAAGTCCTCTCATTAGTACCATCATTTCTTTCAACATGTCATCATTTGATTTTTGTGGGCTTCTATACGTCTTCTTAGATTTTTTAAACAGATCTTCTTCTAATCCATTTCCTCTTTTCCGTTTACCCTCATCAGATGTATCCGACTCCATTACGTTTCCCTTTTTCTTGCCTTCCTCACTAAATTTATTGGGTCCGTCCCTGTTCTTTGTTTACGTGCTATTATCTCTGGAATGTATGGCTCACCGCGCAAAAAGACCCGGCCCCGGTCAACTCGTCGGAAACCGGACTCTTTAACACTTAAATAGTTCAATCAACTATTAGTCTTTTCCTATTGCTACCTTCTTAGTTTATTTCACACACTGCCTACTAAACTATTTTCGTTTGCCAACCGCTTTACTGTTATGATTTACACACTATCAAAATTAAATGATCGTAATTTCCCAGATTAAAAGGTGTTTAACTACGGAACACAATTTTCGCACGTATCGACACTGTACTATCCGACCTATAACTCCACCTTATATAAAATTAAATAACAATACCGGACGAGCTGCTTAGTTAACCTACCCTGTCCACCACTACTTGGCACAAACTAATACAATGTTGTAAAGAAATTATGAGTGGATGTCAAAAATTGTATGGGGTGAGATTTAAACGCTTTATGTACTTCCGAGATATATTACATAGGGGGCAGCACACAAAAGCTGTTGCTGTATATTTAATATACCACAGAATATTTTGTATGGCATTTGTGACATCCAAGAATATATATAGTTCATGTTTCTTATGGTGGTTGTGACATCCCCAACGTTTTCGTAAACACGGCAATTTGACAACGCTGTTACTCTTATATTATGTATGTTTAAAATGTTTGTGGTACAATTTGCACCGCGGAATATGAACGCCGATATATTTGATAATATGGACTTTTTAAATAAACTTTATATTTTGTAAAGATAACAATAAATAGGTAGGTAATTTAAGTGAATTATTTTTGCAATATAAAATTTCACTTAATAGGTTATAATAAAAATGATTAAATTGTAACCCAAAGTTATATTAGGTATATAATTAGTTTATTAATTTAATTCTATTAAATTATTTGCTATTCATTTAAATTTTTAAAGGAATGTTGAACAGCGGGCGATTTACAATACATGAACGATTTACGTACGTTTTTTGCACAATTGTTAATAAATATTTATTTCCGAGATAGTGTTTAAATTGGTCTCTTCAATTTTTTTCGTAGAATGCACTGTTTTTTTGAGGAAAAAAATAAAACATATTTTATTGCAAGTTATGTATTTTTAATTTCTATATCAATAGAAATAGATAATGTATCAACATTATCTAGTTAGTAGGTTGCTGCCAATATTTCTAAATAAAATACAACCATCAAATTTCGAGTAAGTATCTTTAAAACACTTTGAAATAATTAATAAAAATAAATAAAAAGTGAATAATTTATCGGAAAATTTTTCTATTTTTTGGATATTTTGACATCTGTGAAAAGAATGAAAAATTAGTGAAATAAACCCTACCGCCAAAAGAATCAGTCTAGGGTTATTTTTATGAAAACAGTTTTCCCAAATCAAAAAATTTCGCACTGAAAAAAGCAGACAAATACGAAATATAGTACAAAAAACACTTCACTTTGTATCACGGACTTCAGAAAGTTGTTGGCGTTTCGAAAATCTATTGTGTTTTCGTCTTTAAATTTTTTTTTTAATTCTCGTTAAAAAAGAAGTCAAAAAAATCAAGACGAAAATAAAGATTTTCAAAACGTCAACAACTTTTTAAAGGCGCGATACAAAGTGACGTGTTTTTTGTCTGTTTTATTTAATGAGATTTTTTGGTTGTGCAAAACTGTTTTCATAAAAATAACCCTTGACTGAACCTTTTGGCACGAGGGTTTAGTACACTAATTTTTTAATTTTTTTCACAGATGGCAAAAGACCCAAAAAAAAAAGAGAAAAGAAATGAAAACTATACCACAAATAAATAATTTCAGCAATAATTTAAGAAAACATGAAACGTTATTTACCTCTTTATTTATGATTTTTTTTAATCTTTAGAGTGGCAAAAATACACAATAAAACTAAAAATTGAATGAACAATGCTACAAATAATATCGGGCAATATATGGAAATGTCGCAAAACATTAAACATAACTAAGTTAATAGGCTATTTATTATGTCTTAAAAAGCAAGGTACTAAGGAACTACAACGTTTATGGGTTTTTATTGCTTGAATTGTTCAAACGGTTATTCAGAAAGAAAAAACCGCGGAGTGCTATTAAATTAGAGGGTGGAAATTGGAGATAGGGGTGAAAATGCAACCCTTAAGGTTTTTTGAGTATATCTCGAAAACGAAACAAAATTTGAGGGTAATGCATAGGAAAAATTTTTGTAGATAATGAGATTTTCTATCGAAAAAAATTTATTTACTGCAAAATATATTAAAAAGAATTTAACAAAAAATGCAAAAAATTCTATTTTCTTGTTTTTTTAATTTTATGCAAATAACTTTTCTGAGCAGAGATAGGTATAGGCATTGCTTCATAGAAAGAAAAGTATATAAAATTTCCTACAAAATGATGGGTTATAAAAGTTTTTCGATGAAAATAGACTGACTTATGATCGTTCAACTTTGCCTTTTTTTCGGTTTTTACTGAATTTATGACAATATTGTTTTATTACTTATTTTTGAGTATGTAATTCATTTTTATTTAATAAAGACGTATGTTAAATTAATTTATCAATAATAAATAAAAGTTATATGGCTTTATATACAGGGTGTTGCATCACGAGAGGGACCTAGCTTAATGGGAGATAGAGGATATCTAAGGTAACTATAGAAATAGATCCTTGGCCATTCTTTATTGTGATACAGGGTGATTTATGATTTTTGGTCAAAACTGCTTTATGTCATAACTTTATTTACTACTACTACTATTTACTAAAAGAAATAAACTACTATTTTTATCATGTATCTTTTACTTACTCATGTCATGTGTTTCTTACTCGTATATTTAAGTAATCATCAAAGTGTAACAAGAAAAAGAAACATGTCGCTGAGATTACTTTTTTATGTTCTTTTCGATAATCGTATGGGAATACTAAAAAAATACATACGGGGCGATGTTTTCTAGAGTTACAAAAAAAAATTAAAAATTTTGCAGTCCGGACCTGGAATACATATTATTTAAAGAAAATGAGGTTTAAAATATGCATGCTTATTTATAACATCTACCCTCAATTAAGCCTTCGCTAATTTTAGTTGCAAAACCATTTTTATCATGTGTCCTTCACATAATTTAGTTTTAGAAGCCGTAGTCTCGTATATTCAATAGCTTATTTAAATAACCACCAAAGTGTAAAAAAAAAGAAACATGTCTTTAAAATCACTTTTTTATGCTCTTTCCGAATATCGTATGGGAATTTCAAAAAAATACATACAGAGTGTTGTTTTCTAGACTTGCACAAAAAATTTACAATTTTTGCAGTCCGGACCTGGATTTTTTTGCTGTCATACATGCATACATGAAGTATCGTGAGTGCATTAACCCTACCAAATATGAACCCATTATTCCATTCCCTACCAAAGTTATGACATAAAGCAGTTTTGACCAAAAATCATAAATCACCGTATCTCAGTAAAGAATGGCTAAGGAGCTATTTCTATAGGCGATCCTAGTTACCCTAGATGTCCTCTATCTCTCATTAAGCCATGTCCCTCTCGTGATGCAACACCCTGTATATATTACACAAATTAATAACTACTTTTTCTTAAAAATTGCTTTTTTTGCAAAGATTTTAAATAATAAAATTAGTTTATGTAAAAAACATTTTATTAAACTTAAATTAAATTTTTTACATTTTATAATTTTAATAGGCCCATTTAGTAAATTTTTTTTATTGCATATTTCAAAAGTTTACCCTTTAATTAGTTAGTATGCCAAAAATCAATTTTTTGTTTCAACGAGAAATGTGTGAAATAAATTAATGAAAACAGAGCGCGGAAAAACGTTGAGCAACCATTGCCTGACGTCATAATAGAGCACTCCGCTCACGCTCGCTCTCTTCCCATTCTGTGTTAATACATACGATATGTGGATCGATTCGCAGTTTCGTTAATTATTGTTTTTATGTCTAAATGGGTCGAAACCGAGGATTGTAC